TCCCTTCACTCCCAAATTTCTACACGTCCAAATCTCCATATTTCCAAATCCTCATGTTGCCAAATCCCTACACCCCCAAATCTCCACGTTTCCAAATCCTCACATTGCCAAATCTCTACACCCCCAAATTTCAACACTTCCAAATCTCCATTTTGTGGAATACCTACACTCCCCAACCATGAAGTTGGAAGTGTAGCAATTGGGAGAGTGGGAATTTGGAGGTGCTGGAATTTAGAGATGTGGGGATTTGGCAAGGTGGGGATTTGGAGGTGTAGGAATTTGGGAGTGTACGAATTTGGCAATTTGAGGGTTTGGGAATGTGGAGATTTGGGGGTGTTGGGATTTGGCAAAGTGGAGATTTAGGGGTGTAGGGATTTGGCAAAGTGGAGATTTGGAAGCGTAGGAATTTGCGAGTGCAAGGATTTAGCAAAGTGGAAATTTGAAAGCGTAGAACTCTGAAAATTTGGAACTGCAGATTCAAACTTCACCACCATGACCTCCGAACAAATCCCTTCCACTTCAAAACATCATATCACTATACTTTCATTTCAATTTACCTTCCTTTTCATTTACCCTAAAAATCCACAAAATTTCCAACAAGCTCCCTGAAGTTTATTAGCTACCAAAACTTCGACATCACAAGTTTCCTGTAGACTCTGTATCGTAGATGTTTAGGTTGTCCTGCAAACTCTGAACGGTTCATGAACACCTCAGTCTACTTCTCCAGGGGTGACCTGAATCTTAACAGCGTCATCAGAATCTTAATTGTGCGGAAGTTTCTAAAAACGATGTGCTCCTGAACGAAGCCAGATCTAAGCGAGCAATTCTATGTCTTATTATGCTCAGCTTTCTAAGCCCAAAGGAATATCGATGAGAAATCTTGTTATCTGCCTTCCGTTGCTGCTCGTGCATACATACTTTTCATGTACCATTTGGTCATGCAACACGTGTCACTTGGAAAGTATGCTCGAGGCACGTATATCTACGTGTTTTGCGGTGCGTTGTTGCAGGGCCGCGTAAATCTAGCTAGTTTACTACACGTGCATTGTGGATAGATAAATTTCTGGAGAACGGATTTTAATGAGACTTTTGGTATCTTTAGTTTTGATATTGACTAGGTTCATGATTTCAGGTTCGAAGATTGTCAATTTGGAGCTTTTAAGCTTCTGTGGGTTGCTAGGTTAAAGTGCTACAAATTCTCAAATTCTCAAATACTTCAAATCTTCCAAATTTCCAAATTCTCAGATTTCTAAATTCTGAAGTTTCTGAATTCTTAGATTCCCAAATTTCCAATTACCCAAATTCTCAAGTCCCCAAATTCTCAGCTTCTCAAATTTCCAATTCCCCAAATTCTCAGCTTCCAAATTTCTAAATTATCCTAATTCTCAAATTTTCCAAATTTCCAATTCCCCAAATTCTTGAGTCCCCAAATTCTCAGCTTCCCAAATTCCCAATTCCCCAAATTCTCAGCTTCTCAAATTTCTAAATTCCCCAAATTCTCAAATTTTCCAAATTTCCAATTCCCCAAATTCTCAAGTCCCCAAATTCTCAGATTTCCAAATTTCCAATTCCCCAAATTCTTGAGTCCCCAAATTCTCAGCTTCCCAAATTTCTAAATTATCCAAATTCTCAAATTTTCCAAATTCTCAGCTTCCCAAATTTCCAATTCCCCAAATTCTCAGATTCCCAAATTTCTAAATTATCCAAATTCTCAAATTTTCCAAACTTCCAATTCCCCAAATTCTCAAGTCCCCAAATTCTCAATTCCCCAAATTCTCAAATTTTCCAAACTTCCAATTCCCCAAATTCTCAGACTTCCAAATCTTCAACTCCCTAAATTCTCAATTCCCCAAATTCTCAAATCTTCAACTCCCCAAACCAATCATCAGTCACCAGTTCTTCCAAACCCCCAACCAAAAAATTCCCAACTCCCAACATAATTTCGCACAAAACCTTGCTCATCAATTTCGAGGCCCCTCAACGATCGATTCACAGAGAGTTAAGCATACCTACGTCATTAATTCCGGAAATTTATCGGAGAACCACAATGCAGTCTGCATAATGCCTTAATTGAAAGATCAGTGTCCATTGGTCGGAATGATGTACACGCGATTTCCAGCATCGAAAACCGGTACCGTTCTCGGGTATCGAGAATGTATTTGCGCGTTTATTAGGCCGGATAATCGATAGCCAACGATCAACCGTAGTCCTCGTTCATTGATATTTCGGTTATCAACCGCAGAAGGGTGTGTCACGGTTTACTCGTTTCGTTATATGGCTGTTCACTATATTTCCGGAATCGATGTATTTCTTGTTTTCTTTTTGTAAGAGTATGTAAATAATTAATAGTGACGATGTCCAGAGTTGCTTTAAGGTCATCAAAAGATTTTTGCTTGAAAATCTGTTTGAATCAGTTCGGATTTCAAATTCATGTAATTTGATGAAAATGTTGAATATGAAAGAACTTTGTTGATGTGGAGATATTTATACGAGACAATGGAGAGCTAATACGGTGCATCTATCAATTCATTTTGATTACGTCCTTAACCCTGTATCATCCAATATCATCTCGAGTTATTTTAGTCCAACTGCGATGCAGGGCTTCGGACAGTGAATGGTGATCTGATGCTGAATTGCCGAATCATTTTATTGAACAGATCACCCGAGCTGGAATGTGGACCTAATTTAAAGTGGGTTCCTTACAATCCTTGAACCTTACTTACATGGACGATTTGAACTACATGAACCGAGGTTTTTGGCAGCAGGTTTTGAGAGGCAGTTTTGGCAATTTTATCAATTATGAACGAAATATATTAGGTCAATTTATAAACTAATAAGTCCTTTTATCGCAAGTGAAAAAATACGAACTGTGCACGGCAAATAACTGAATGATTCATCGAAGTTATTACAGCAGCAATCTTCTAATTACAAAATGAAGATATATGTCGCAAAGATAAGTTAATCTAGCATGCACGTAATAACCTACAGAGGAGTTACTAACCGCATAAATACGTCGAAACTAGAAATATGATACGAAAATAAAGGAATGGTAATTCATTGCCACAAAAATGGAGCACAACAAATTACAGATAACCGGTGAAACGACCGGTTTAGAGTTAAACCTGCTTAGATTAAATAAGCAGGTAGTTTAGCATCGCTTACGAGAGAATACGAATGTTATCCAGAAAATGAACCTCGCGAATAACGATCAGTGACAACGAGGTCTAACGATCTATCAGAGGCCGCGGGCGTTGGTGAAAAACAAAAAGCCAGCCGCGACAATGGCACAGACTTTTCGTGGGAGCGTGATAACAAAGCTCCCTTCGCGCGAGCGTTCCCGTTAAAAAGGGAGGAAGGGAGTAAGAACTCGTTCCCTTCTTCGTAGCTGTTTTTCTCTTGCTGTCCCCGCCTCCCTTTGTCCCTAGCCCGTGCAACGACCGACGACCCGACAAGATAGCGCCACAACCGGAGGAAGTATAGTATACGGAAGAGACGTGGAACAGAGAGAAAAACGATGACGGAAAAAAGCACGTGTAGGTAGTAGTTGGACGAAGCGAGGGGTTTGTTTACAAGCCGTGGAACTCGCCACTCTTCGAGTTCCTTGACTCGCGATCGAACCAGCTTGATTCTCTTTTCTTCCCTTTCCCGCCAACAGCCGGGGATCTCGCTCTTTCGCGCTGCCTTCTTGCTTCGTAAGTCATCTTTTCCAACGGTGATCGCAGCTACGTCTCCGCAAAAACGTTCAATGGAGCCACGATACCAATCGGTATCAATTATCGTACTGGTGGTCGAGTACGCAGGACACAGTCAAAAGACAGATTTCGTATAAATATCCCGAATTATTGGTACATATTCTTGATGAAATGTTAGACACCTTCCGGCTTATTTATGTAACATTCATTTCACGGTTCCTTTTGCGTAATATATTACAGAATCGCCGATAATAGCGCAAGGGTCGGACGAAATGAGTGTGCGGAAGGTCGTACATTCCCCTCGTAAGAAGAATCTAATGCGTCAGCCATTGTTCCCTTTTGTGTACGAGCTGATCAGAGGTCTTGAAAAGATGGATATTCGGTCAATAACCGATCGGGCGGGTTGATAACAATGCACGTGGTTTGCAAACACCTATCTTGGATCTCGTACAAGTATTTCTGGCAGGGTATACCCGTGGCCCAAAATATCCAGTGTTGAGGAAAGCCGGGTCCAAGAATTTGTAGGTTTCGAGTACTCGCCCGAGTGGTTGAATGAAAACGCGTGGTCGACGTAAATTTACGAAACTGTTGCAAAACCTTTGTTATTCCCTTATCAATCTTCTTTATCGTACGAGATAATACCGGTATACAACAATGCTTCCAACGCTAAAAATATTATTTGATCCTTCATTTTACAGAGAACAATGCCTGTGCTACAAGTCTGTCAGCCACATATGACTTCGATGAGAAGGTGATTCTTTCGTTTCTGGAGAATCCAGAGAAAATATTAGCTTTGAGTAATGGCGTGAAACTTCGGTTCACTTCATTTTAAGTAAAGAAAGCTTACACTTCAGGCGTAGAAGTAGGCTTTCTAAGATTAAGGTTAGAAACCTAGCATTTACTTTCGGTTTTAGATCACAGAGATAACGTAGACGTGGGACAATACTATTGGAGAGACGTAGATTTCAAGGAAATACAGAGAAACTTCAGAAAACCTGGACTTAGAGAGACGTAGAATTGGGTTAAAGCTGAAACTAGTGAGAGCTTGTCCTTTCGCAAACAGAATACAATTATTCGAATGCACCTGAAGAAACTAACATTGCAAACCTAAGCACCTACGATTCCAACTGAATAAGGTCAGCGTTTGAACGCGTCAAGAATAGAACACTCTCGAAGGTTTTCACTGGTCCATAAGCTTAGCTTATCGCCAAGTAATTCCCACGAAGCCCCTAATCTGGGTCATTAGATATCTCCTTCGGACTCTGAAAGCGGCAACCTCGAAAACGTATAAAGTCCATAAAAACTCACCGATGACGGTGTTAGCCGCAACTTCCTTGGCGGCGGCCGCAGCCGCAG